TTCTCCAGTGTCTTCTTCCCCACTTGGAGCTGAACCCAGAAGGACATTTCTTTCAACATGATGTACATTTTAACATTTTCAATCTATTTTTTCTCTATAAGTGTGATCAATAAATTCTCATTAGCCGTTTCTCTGCACTGGGATAAATTTTATAGTTTTATTACCAGTACTTTATAATCTGCCACAATTATGATCCTATTTGCTCCTCAGTAGTAATCCTCCCATTCTTAAACATTCCAGGAAGACAATCTAATATTATAATATAATTTTGAATTTCTAAACATGTAACAGGCTTCTTTAAACCAAGTTTCAGTTGCTCTAAGGTGAAAACTAGATCCAGTGTGAATTCATTACACCAGTAAGGATCAATATTAGTTGAGACAAGCACACAGTTGTCATGGAGTCCAGACATTTCTGATTCATCACCAACCTCATCTCAAGAAATAGAATTTGATGCTCCCAGCATTAATAGCATGGAAGACTCAATCACAAAGTCAAAAAAGAGCAGAATCCATAAATTGTCCATAAAGCCCAATTTAATATAGACACTTGTCCACAATTCTCTGAGAGCCAATTTGGACAGAGGAATAATCGTCTCTATTCTTGACCAAATTTTAACAATACAAATAGAAATGTGCTCATTTCTCCAAAAAAATAAATAAAGGAATACCATCTTAATACAAACAAATCTGGCATTTGACAATAATATCCTTATTCAGCAATATAGTGTTGATAGCATCAAAACAACCTAATAGAGTAGAAGAAGTTATCAGCACCAAACTGTTTATCTGCCTTAATCAGGTCCATAGTACAATTCTTATTCTATGCACATTCACAGAAATAAAACTCTTTATGTTAAATAATATTTGTTACTCTCTAATGTATTATAATATCTGAAGCTCCAATTCTATTAATAAAATTGAATTTAACTCATAAATACCTCTGAAGTTTTCATTTTTTGAAGTTCATCCTCCATTATTTCTTTTTCTTCTCTTAGATTTCGAAATTCTTGCTGTATTTTCTGAAATTTCTAATATAAAAAAAACCAAGAGTCAAGAAAAGCTAGGCACCTCCTCCAAATATTTGGGACCTCAAAAGAAATCTTGTCCCTCCTTTGGAAAGAATTATTATATAAGTGATTGTTATAAATGTATAGTATAGAATGATATAGAACAGTTTTTGTAAAAATAGTTGCTGATGTGATAAGCTTGATATATGTTAGAAATAAAACTTGCATGAGAATAAACAGAATATTATGTGATCACACCTTAATCAGTAACACATTGATGCTTTTGTTGTCAAGCAACATATAAAACATATAAAATTTGCTCATAAATGCATGCATTGATCAGGAAGTGATTTTTTTATTACTCTTCATTACTGTTGTATTTGGGAATTGTCACTAACTGAGGTGGTTCCTAGCCAAGTAGTGGTTGTATTACTGAATTTTGTTCAAATAATTAATTTAAGAATTGAAAGAAGGATAAAATTATTACTTACACTTTCCAGCACATCCTGTTCATTTACAGCTCTGAAAAATATAAATATTTATTGATTTTTTTCTTTTTAAGTTTTCAGTAATTTCTAGATAAATTGAACTTTTATTTAGAGAATTTATACTCTACTTTTCTGTTAGCACCATGTTCTAATTGTCTTAAAATAAGATAGAGAGTACAAATTAAAATTAATTAAAATCAAAATTAAAAGTAGCCATTTAGAGAACTAATAGCTAAACACTTAGCTATTAGTTAAAATGTACTGTTTTTATCATTTCCTAAATGTTGGGAAAGTGGGAATAAATGAACCTCCATTGGGAGCACATTTCATAGTCTAGGAATGTGGAAACTAAATGGGAGAAGGCCATCTTACAATGTCCCCTACTATCAATGTGGGCACCCTCCGATCTCAGAGGGACAACTCACCAGATTTATTAGGCATAGAGTGAAATTTGTCCTGCAGATCAGATATTAAAAGCTTGAAATGTCAATACCAGCATCTTCGATTGTAAGCAGCATATAACTGGTAACCCAGCAGATTTTTTAATATAGTCATAATATAAACCCTGTATTGCATAGCAATCAACAGCTCAGTTCTTGAATTTTTTACCCATTGGAATTTATGGACACATTTCAAACCTAGATCTATTTCATGTGGATTAAAAAATAGATATGCTACAATCAAAATATGATTGTGACTAAACAGTCCGAAATTCAATAAAAATTGAAGTGTAAACTTAAAAACAGCTAAAACCAATATCACTCTCAGAGAACTCATGGAAAGGTTATACTCCTCTTTAGAGCTATCATCTGCACAGTGGTGGGTTTCAAAAATTGTTAGAACCTACTCTGTGGGTGTGGCCTCCTTTGTGGGAGTGGCTTGCCACCCACATGACCGGATGGGAGTGGCTTGCTGCCCATGTGACCAGATATTAAATTATGAATTAGTACTTAAGTCGGTCCACGTAGCTATTCAGAAACTCTGGTATTGAAGCATGCAAGTCTTAAAACTGTCAAGTTAGAAGATCCTTGCACCCCTAATCCTTTAGGGGAAAAAACTAGGGGTCTTCAAACCTGACAGCTTTAAGACTTGTGGACTTCAACTCCCAGAATTCCTCCTCCA